TATATATATTAATATTAGATATTATAAAATTTAATAATATAAATATTGTTAAGCTGATTGTCAAATTTGTCAAGTGAGATTTTATTCGACAAATAATATATATTTTTTTGTGAAGTTTGATAATTTTTTTTTAATTTAAGTGAGTCAATTTATTTAATTCACCAACCTATAATGAATTAGGCGGCATTGATTTTTCTAAGCTTACTAAGAGTCAAGTCAAATTGAATTGACCCATCTATTACTCAACTTGTGGTAAATTAAATCGGACCGATTTGAGTTATCAATTTTATAATTCTAATTCTTTATAAAGTTAAACATATGGTTTTGTTTTTTGTGAATATTAAACATGTGATTTGATTCTTTTATATGTGTCTCAGATTTTTAATTTGATTTTTATTCTAATAAACAGTTACCTAATTAGTTTTGATCACCTTTAACTTCTTTACACATTCTTAATTTAATCTCTTTATGCAAAAATTAAATTAAGAAGATATTATAGTGGTTGAGTGAGTAAAGTTTAAATTTAAATTAAGAATTTACTATATAGAAATTAAATTATAATTTGATCTTTTTATATAAAAACTAAATTAAGAAAATATTTACCAATAAAATAAATAAAGATCAAATTAAGAATATACTATATATCACATATGGTATTTTTGTAATGGATTGAAATACTCATTTGACCTATAAAAAAAAGTGTCCGATAATATAACATTATTAATATATATTTGTATATGTATAAGTTAATAGTTTGTTTTTTATTGACTATACCAATGGAAGTTAATCCAATACTAAAATGATTTTCTTACAGAAATATCAATAATCCGTATATGCAATTTAACAGCAATTGGTAATAATTTGTTTGAATATTTTTGTCTAACCATTACCATGTTGCAAAGAGAAACGAGCTACAAATAAGTGTAGTAAAAAAATAATTATTTATATTTTCAATTTAAAGGAGAAAGTATATATATAAACAAGAATGTATAAAAGGATTAAAAAAATGTGAAAAGACAGGGTAAAATAGGTTTATTAAATTTGAATAATAATATCAAAAGTCATTAATGTAATTTAACACTTATCTTTTTAAAATTTAATTCTAAATTAATTATAAAATTGTGACTAGAGATATATTTTATTTTTAAGATGGGACGATCGCGAGAGAATTATATTTATTGATTATATTTAAAAATAATAATAATAAAGTAAATATTTTTCTAAGCCAATGATAAAAATATACTATAAATACCCATGTATTAAATAAAATATTAATTAACATAACATTAAATATAAACAATCCGTGCATTGCGCGTATAAACTAACTAATTATATTAAGTGTTAGAAAAAAATATTGTTCACGTATCTGTATTTATTAGTTGTGGATCTTGAGTTTATCTTTTGTCATTCATCAATGTTTTTCTTTTATCAGTCTGTGAGTCTTTTTTATTTTTGGGCAATATTGATGGTTTTTCTTCTTTTGTTGGTCAGTGTCAAACAAACATATAATCAGAGATGGCTTATTAGATCCAAAGCGAGGCCCAAATAACAACAGAAACAGTGGACGACTACGTTGGACCCAAAAATTGATAATTGACAACTCTCAATGATTTCTTGCCAATTTTACTTTGGTTTAAATATATTTTTAATCTCTTAAATTTAAAATTAATTTATATTTTATTTTTTAAATTTAAAATTAATTTTTTTAATATAGTGTAATTTTAAAAAATATTGTCTTGATATCTCAATTTATTAATAATATATTTAAAAGTGACAGATTGAGACAATTATATAATATTAGTTAGATTTAATTATATAATATTAGTTAGATTTAATGTAATATTTTTAATTTTTACCATCAGAAACATTAATAAGTAAATTTTATATGATAATATTTGATAATTTTCTTATAAAATTTAAATATAAGGATTAAAATAAGATTTATTAAAATTATATGAACTAAAAAAATAAATTTTAAATTTGAGAGACTAAAAATAAATTTAACTTAATTTTGAGAGAATAAAACATATTTAAGTTATCCTTATAAACTAATTTTATTGACAAAATTACAAAAAAAAATACAGAAAATTAATGATTCAATTGTAATTTTTTTGTAGTATCGAGATAATAAAGTTCAAGGACCGAATATATTAAACAATCAAAGAATCAATTGAAAACGAAATCTCCTAAGCAAGATAATTGTTAATTAAGGAATTCAAAATGTTTTTCTTTATTTTTTTAAGGATACAGTACTGAAAAACATTCCAATAAAAATCTTTCTGTTCTTTTTATAATTTTTTTTAATTCCTAAGTGCACTTGTTAGCAATTTTTTCCCATAGTAAAATCACGTGTTTGATCAAATAAAGTTATAAATCTTTCAAATAAACTATAATGTGGTTTGAAGAATGTGTGTTATATTTTATTTTAGTTGATAAACTGCATGTATAATATCTTCCGACTTCCGAGTATTTCATCAATAGAAAAAATGTTGCAAGTATTTTATTTTATGATAAATAATAATTTTTTAAAATTTTAAATTTAAGACATTAATTATATTCAATTTTTGTATTTAATTATTTTGTTTAGTAATAAGAGAATACATAGAAAAATAAGGAAAAGAGAATGTGGATCCCACCTTGGAGACAGGAACTTGTGTCTATCCGCAGTGAGTCACTACTCACAACACAACACAAGACATGAAGCCGCATCTGTCGCCTGTCGGAAACTAATTCTTCTCTTCCTTCTTCCAAAACGTGTATTCATAAAGAGATTAAAAGTATAAAAAAGAATACACTATTATATATATATTAAGGATGATGTGTAGCATATAGATTGGATAGGAAAAGTAGAAAGAGTTGGTGGAATGAAAGCGAGAGATGGTTGGATTGGATTAGGATGCAGAAGAGAAGAGAAGACCAACCAGCCGAAACGGATGAGGCTGCCATGTCATGCCACGTCACTAACTCATTTTATTAATATAGAAACTTAAAAGGTAGTGGGAAGAGGAAGAAGAAGAAGAAGAAGAAGAAGAAGAAGAAGATTAGAAGAAGAAGAAGATATGGAAAGAGGGTTATCAGTGGATGAAATATCGGAACAGTATTGGGTTGCAGCCAGGAAAGAAACGTGCAAGTCAAAGTCAAACATGAATCGGAGCGACTCTGAGTGGGCCTTTCAGCAGTTTCTGCAGGAAGCTGCTTCTTCTTCGTCCTCTTCCGATGTTAAACT